TGTTTCCATGATGAAGTTGATATCAGGAAAGATATTGTTGATGCCGTTGCAGGTTCTGTCCACTTCCAATCGCTTAAGGATAACCAATGTGTCAACTACATATCTAAGCCGGAGTCTGGGCTGTAGTTGTGGTAGAATCGTCCTTTCAAGTTTTTGCATCACGGCTTCAGCACTGAATCCAAACCACTAGAAACATCACTATACAGAAAGACGACTCACACGGATCAAATCCTGGGATACACCAGTAACCACTCAATCTGACACAATAAGACTTGCATTCGGACACTTTACGAAAGGGCCAATCACACTGTAGCACTGAAAAGTTGAGATAGCAAGAGGAGAGATACCTCTATCATGTATTCCTCCGCAACGGTTACACCCGCAACTTCGTCCAACGGACAATAACTCGAACATAACAACACACAAGGGAAAACAAACAACCGAATAAGCAAATAACCCTACCATTACCTATTTAGGTACCTACTTTATTATCCTGTTCTACCATTCAGTCCATATATATATAGTATGTAACTGACTGAACAAAATTTCCCCGGAAGAACAGGACCGGTCTCTCGGTTATTGCCGCTCATCAGGCATGCGTATCCGGTAGTCTTTTTTCAGTTCATGCATATGTATAATTGTACCCAGGAAGTGTATTTTTGTCACAATAACCTTGTTTGCAACAACGGATGACCGTTGGATAAATAATTCATTCATATATTAGGATATTTAGTGGCTCACAGTAAATGCCTTTTTTGATCCTTTTTCACTCTAGTCAAATAAGTCTACCAGATTCCTCTATTATTACATTCACGCAATTCTCCAGATTTCAATGTTCTACCTACTCCCTAATTCTAATGAGCAACCAAAACCTTCAAAGTGTAAAATGCTGCTCCAAGATTGAGTTGGCTCAGTCCCCAACCTCACCCTGACCAGGGAAGTTGTAGAGAAAGTAGACAAATTTTGCTGCCTGGGCANCTTATTATTACACACTAAATTGCGACTGAAATTAGAGAGGTTATACCACAAAAACCTACTGCAACTGTAGTGTAAGCTTTTGGGTCAGAAGTGATTAACTCTTTGATAGACATGATATCCAGGTGGATGATAGCAAAGTTTTACCGCAATGACACTTGGCGCGAAGTGAAATTTTTATTGATGCAGACGCATCGAATCGGTCCCATGTCTCACGTGTATATGTCAACAGACGGAGTATCAGGGAAACTCGTTTGAACATCAGTTTGATTGTATGGTTCACCCCAAGATTGGTGTAATACATCCCTCAGACCTAGCATTACGAAGTATAAAATCAATCGCTTCTCCCAGAGAATCACCCTAACATGAAACTAACTATTGAAGCTCTGTTTGAATTTTTTTTATCTTCCCCTTGAATTTACTCTTAACATTCCAATCTTCAATCTGCTCCTTTATTCAAGTGCGCTATCAAAAAAAAACAGCAACCCAGACCGGCCCATGAAAATACATGATTGATGGTTGTAAAAACTGAAACTTTAGATCTGCATGCAGTTCCTCTTTTCAACTTTAGAATGCATGTTCTTAGTTCCTGTTTTTCCGTTAGTGGGCCATAATGAAACTACCCATGGAGCTTGGATTTATCGAATTATTCATCTATCGCCAGATAAAGTTGTGGTTAACCGAATAAGTAAACCGATGATCCTCTAATTTTCATATGCATCGCAAATTGCTTTGTCAATCTAGATCTTGCGGCCAATTAATGCCATTTGTTTCAGTGAAGTTTGGCTACTCCAAGGAACTATGGTCTCCCTCTTGTTCACCAGTTTTGCGGATTTATCCAAGGAATTTTCACGAGTTCTTGTTACCGATGCTATCAGTAGTTTTTCGGTCACAAGTTTCTGATGTGTGGGCCTCATTGAAATCACTTAGTTTTCAACCGACTGTAGACCCTTAATCATAGCATTATATTATAATGGTCAAACTAAGACCTGGCACGAGAGTATGAAAACCCTAACCAGGAGACTAGGTCACATAAGCCCCGTTAGGCTCCCTGGAAGGGGACCTCGGGATGATGGTCACTGATGGTTAGCTACACTGAGTGATATGACTGGATGTCGCAAACAGTGGCGCTCGTGCATCCACTCGTTATTTTTCTAACACCACTCTATATGTATTCCCCATCTTCCGCTTGAATTTGCCTAGACATTCTAATCTTCACTTCGCTCTTTTTATCCAAATAGGCGAACATCGTTAGCCGTGGTAACCTATCTGGTGACATGCATAACACATGTTTCAGTTTCACTTTCAGTTTCAGTTTGCACAACCATTAACCATGCATTATTGTGCGCCGGTTTTGGTTGCGTAACACATGTCCCAACCAACGTAATCTACGGAGGTCGATCACTTGCTCCACTGGGCGACTGCGGATACCCAAAACTCTGCCCCTAACCTCAGCATTGCTCATCCGGCTACCCCACCAGATTCGTGCAATGCTGGGTAGACAGCGGTGTTCAAACACCAATAGTCTACTCAAGTTCAGAGGTTACTACTAATAATACATCAAGGAGAGGAGAGACGAGAAACACCAAAGGTTAACTCCCATGTGGTGCGAAACCTAATTTGCACTAGAACACTTATTATTACACACTAAATTGCGACTGAAATTAGAGAGGTTATACCACAAAAACCTACTGCAACTGTAGTGTAAGCTTTTGGGTCAGAAGTGATTAACTCTTTGATAGACATGATATCCAGGTGGATGATAGCAAAGTTTTACCGCAATGACACTTGGCGCGAAGTGAAATTTTTATTGATGCAGACGCATCGAATCGGTCCCATGTCTCACGTGTATATGTCAACAGACGGAGTATCAGGGAAACTCGTTTGAACATCAGTTTGATTGTATGGTTCACCCCAAGATTGGTGTAATACATCCCTCAGACCTAGCATTACGAAGTATAAAATCAATCGCTTCTCCCAGAGAATCACCCTAACATGAAACTAACTATTGAAGCTCTGTTTGAATTTTTTTTATCTTCCCCTTGAATTTACTCTTAACATTCCAATCTTCAATCTGCTCCTTTATTCAAGTGCGCTATCAAAAAAAA